TTTTTCCTTGGGAAGACAAACAGAATGTTGATTAATTTATGATATCAAATGGCTTCACAGTATAAGTATCAACATTTTGCTACTGTCTTTTAAAGAACTTGAAGTAGCTTTAATAGGGTTTAATCTATCTCATTTCTTATTTCTTTATAACCTCTTTCTTTGACAGAATAACAAGAAAATGGATGACAAATGAAATAACAAAATTGTCATTGTCTTAAGTAATATTCACTGAATTCTCTTGATAGCTTAGAGGAAAATGAGCTCACCCAGAGTTCACAAAAATCTGTCACTTCCACATGGATAATTTTCCACGTTTTTCAAAGTAAATATAGTAGTACTGCTGGCCAGTTTAAAAAAAGATATTGAGCTTTGATAAGAATGATTACTTAAATATAATCACCTGGGTATCTAGTTGGATAATCCTATTGGAAGAAAGCTATTATTAATTAAAATAATTAACTAAATCTAACCTAGATTTAAAGATTTCTTATTTTTTATACTTATTTTAAGTAAAAGTCAGTTAAACTCCAAATTCTTTGAAGAAACACTAATACAGGAGAATAGCAATTTTCCTATTCTTCTCACAGTACTTAGGTGGAAAATTCATTAAAGTTTGGAACCTAGTGATTAGTAATTAATCATTTCTCTTTCAATTTTAATCATGTGACTGAGATAAACCATTATTTTCATTGCAGTTATTACTAATTATACTGCAAACATTTCACTTTGGTTAAATGTATTATAATTCATTCTTCCTCAGTATAAAAGACTGAGTTTCATACATAAGTCACACTTTTTGCCTTGATTACAGGTAACAACAAGTAATTATCCTTCACAATAAATCTAGGAATATAATTCTAATTACTGAATTTGCTAGGGCATCTCCCTAGGTTTGTTTAGACATAGTAGTCTTTTGTATAATTTGGTATGAGGTGTTTGAAAGCTGTAGTGTAGAAGTCCTAGAAGGACTTCAATATAGTGTTTTGTTGTTTTTACTGGAGTATAGTTGATTGAAAATGTTGTGTTAGTTTCATGTGTACAGCAAAGTGATTTATTTACACATATACATATATCCCCTCTTTTTTTTAAAAGATTACTTTCCTATATAGGAGATTAGAGAGTATTGAGTAGAATTCCCTTTGCTATATGGCAGGCTCTTATTAGTTATCTATTTTATATATAGTAATGTATATATGTCAACTCCAGTCTCCCAGTTACCCCTCCCCTCCTTATCCTGTGGTAACTGTAAGTTCGTTTTCTACATCTGTGACTCTATTTCTGTTTTGCAAATAAATTTATTTGTGCTCTTTTTTAAAGATTCCACATTGAAGCAATATCATATGATGTTTGTCTTTCTTGGTCTGACTTCGCTCAGTATGACAATCTCTAGGTATATCCATGTTGCTGCAAATGGAACCATTTTGTTATTTTTTATGGCTGAGCAATATTCCATTGTATATATGTACCATAGCTTCTTTATCAATTCCTTTGTTGATGGACATTTAGGTTGCTTCCATGTCCTACCTATTATAAATAGTGCTGCAATGAACCATGGGGTGCACCTATTCTTTCGAGTTACAGTTTTCTCTGGGTATATGCCCTGGAGTGGGATTGCTGGGTGATATAGTAGTCCCATTGTTAGTTTTTAAAGGAACGTCCATACTGTTCTCTATGCTGGCTGTACCAATTTACATTCCCACCAACACAGTAAGAGGATTCCCTTTTCTCCACACCCTCTCCAGTACTATTGCTTGTAGGTTTTTTGATTGATGGTCATTCTGACTGGTGTGAGGTGATACTTCATTAGAGTTTTGATTTGCATTTCTCTAATAATTAGTGATGTTGAGCATCTTTCCATGTGCTTTTTGATCATCTGTATGTTTTCATCAGAGAAATGTCTACTATTGACTTATCTTTCACCCATTTTTTGGATTCTTTTTAATATTGATTGATTGATTTTTTTGATGTTTAGCTGCATGAGCTACTTGTATATTTTGGAGATGAATCCCTTATCAGTTGCTTTGTTTGCAAACAATTTCTCCCCTTCTGAGGGTGTTTCTTTTTTTTTTTTTTTTTTTTTT